TTACTGATTACCTGTGCATACAGATAGCCTAGTGATAGACCAGGACTTAGAAACTTGCATACTGGGTACAAAACCATATATTGGGAAAATGCAGAGCTGCATCACTTCTGTTTCCTCTCTTAGAGACCCTATTCTAGTCACTGGACCACTCTGATTTTCAGTTTTGGCATCAGTAAAGCTGGTCTTTAAGGGTTCTAGTACATTCCTCCACTCCCCCAAATCCATCTCCATCATTTCTCAACCATTGTTACACTTCAAAACAGTGCTCACCTCCTATTGATAATGTATTAGCCACAACTTGTATTAATACTCAATTTTAAATAATTTTGAATAAGTTCAAACAGAATCAGCTTCATGCTCAGATTATCATATAGTTGAGACTGTGGACTGTAAATGTTAATTTCAGAGGTCCCCTAGGCCTGGCCGGTGTTGTTGTTAATGATACTCTGTGTGCAGAGATAGGGTCTCCTGTGGACATTTGCTGACACAAGCTCTGTTGGGAAAGCAAGCACACTTGCTTAGCTCTCAAACAGATTACTCTACGGTGTCTGCTGAGTATCAGAGGCCTCCTAGGAGGCCCCTCTGTAGTCGATGCTTCACCTCTAAAATTAGACTGGTTGCTTTAGGCCCCAGTTCAGAACTGTGAACCACAGCTTCTGCTATCACCAGACAGCTGCAGGCTCAGCGACATATGCAGAGATCATTTGGACAAACTTGTGTCAGTTCTATCCATATGCCTCCATCCTTAGAATGAACTGTTCTTGGTCCTGTGGGGTAATGGCCAACATTTATACCTACGGAGGGAAAAACATGAAGGGCTTATTTCTGTTGCAATTTTCTGATCCTTGTCTATTATTTTTTTTGGCTGACGCAATAGCCTATGGTCCAGTAACATGTTTATCTCTTATTTATATATAGGGCATGATAATGTCTCCCATTTTAATATGACCATGTCACATTTCACTTAATTCTAGAAATATTATTTATTGTAAATATACATACCAAT